TGTTGTTTCACAAAGAAGAGCCGATTGCTTACGAGATACAAAAAATTATGTAAAATCGTGCCAACATATTCCACGTGAACTAAACGCATTTACTGTTAAGCACTGCTGTTATGCACGTTCAGGGATTACCTCTGAAGATGTTGGCGATTGACGCTGGTGAAACGTCGCAACGACTCCACCATCGTCCCATGGCAGTTGATTGAACTCGTTTAAACTAAGGACGATTTATGCAGTTTCACACAGTAAAGTAGCACTGCAGAATAAATAATTCATTGTTTTTCGTTCACTAAGGCCGTTTCTATTCCTTGCTTTATTGAGCACAATACTTGGCTGAATTATCCTGTTTCGATGATTCTGCGGCTCGTCGAACCTGTTGGGGGTACCGGCCGCATAACAGGAGACAATTATTGTCCCTCGCCATTAAACTTAATTGATAATCCTTGAAACGGCTAACCGTGATTCAACATTTGTCATTTGAGAAAGGTTTTAAGCGCCTTTTTACGGAAAATTCAGGTTCTAAACTGCTGTTTTTTGGGCATGAGTGGCGACAATCTGATACACGTTTCTCATCGTATTCTTGCATTGTATGTGATTTGCCTGTTTGCTGGATGATTTTTCTTCTCGGACGTTTTTCTGGTTGTTTTTTCTTTAATCGAATTGCCCTCAGTGTTATTATAAACCAAGCAAAACTGTTCTTTTGCAGAAAAAATTCAAATTATTATCGTTTAGAGCCGTTTATGCAACTGAAATTGTTGAATTTAGTGGGAATAATTGTTCTCCCAAAACCAATTTACATTATATCAGAGCAATTCCCAATGCTGATTAAAAAATATAAATTCACCGCAAATTGTTCTACATAACTAAGGTTTACAGCTTGAAGTTGAAAAATGTTGCAATTAAATAAAATGGTTTGAGGGAGGAGTTTGGGTAGCAAATGTTTAAATTCAACCGATAATTTTAAATATAATGTGATTTGAAATTGACACGTTTTGCAATAATTTTATCCCAAAAATGTGCAAATATTTGCACTCATTCACAGTGTTATCAAGATTAGGGCTCGGAATCAAACTCGAATAATTCGAGTATTCGAATATTCGAAAAGCGAATAATTATGTGTAGTCATAACTCGAATATTCGAATACTCGAATACTCGAATAATCGAATACTCGAATATACCAACATTATCAAACTCACAAGGTGCAAATATCTTTATATGTACTTTGTATCTATATATATATAATTCTCGTGTCACAGTTTTAGTTACCATACTCCTCCGAAACGGCTTGACCAATTGTGATGAAATTTTGTATGTATATTCAGTAGATCTGAGAAAAGGTTATCTATTTTTTATACCCCTAAGTGATATGGGTGCTGCCATAAACCCCTATCTTTTAATAGCTATATTAGTAATTCAATAAATTTAAAATAAAATTTAAAAAAATCTCAAGTGGGCAAGCCGCCCACTCGAGATGAAAAAAAACCCTAGGAATAATTTATATGGCAATACAACGTTTGCCGGGTCAGCTAGTACTTTTATAAAATAAATTATTCATATTCTACAAGCGTTTAAACAAATACCCATCTATTTACAAGCAAATGAAAATAATCATTTACTCTCCTGCAAATGAATGTAAAATTACGTCTCTGTGTTCTGGTGATACGCGTCATCAACTTTTGCGCGGTGTTACAATTAATGTGTCGACAAAGGCACTTTTTTATCCGTTGCGGCTAGTTGCCAAAAATGTTATGAGATAATATCAAGATTTTTCTTCTTGGAAAACGGTGAACGGAAAACGAATACGAATAGAAATACTCGAATATTCGAATACCCGAATACTCGAATATTCGAATACCCGAATACTCGAATATTCGAATATTCGTTAGATATTCGAGTATTCGAATAATTTTACTATTCGAATAAACCACTAAACGAATATTCGAATATCAGATTTTTAAAAATTCCGAGCTCTAATCAAGATAACAGCTGAAAGGTGCGGGTGATAAGCGGTAATAATCAAACGGAGACAATTATTGCCAGTTGCATACACGTTTTTATCAGTTATCTATCGTAACAATAAAAAAATTATTTTATTAACCGTTTTAAATCTTAAAATCACTTTTAATTTATTTGTTGCTTCAACTGCAGGATTGTCATACATTCAAAGTCGTTTGCATTGTGCAGTTCAAAAAACTGTAATTATATCGATTTCGGGTAGATATTCGGATTGAAAACTGACAATTTGACCTTAATTTTATTTACTCGCCAAATTGTTGTAAAATCTCACAAAACAAGCATTACTCTATGCCAACTTACTCCCACAGCCCAAAAAAATTATTCCCATTTTTACAGCAAATTGTTGTAAAATTCGGATGAAAAATGCATCGTTTAAAAGCTGTGTTGAAGTGGCAATTACTCCTATTTTATCGTCATTTTTACCATTTTTTGCGACTCAAAGATTTATGTAAGTAAAAGGAAAGAAACATTCCATTTATTAGAGATTTCAATCAAGATAGGTTTCAGCATTCAAGATAGGTATTGAGTATGCAACAATTGAAATTTTCGTTTTTTTCCTCGCTACAAAAACTGCATTGTACAGTTAAAACTATCCTTCTTCCAACTCTACGTGTTACCTTGACCACGGCTATTGTCCCCAAACTGCAATTTTATCCACTTTTTGCTGCTAAACTGGCGATTATTTCGAGTAAAACCAATTGCAAAAACTAGCATTTATTTACAGGAGCACCTGAAAAGAATTTACATTTTATGGCCATTTCAGTAGAGCAGCTGGAATATTTATTATTTATTGGATAAAAGTAACAATTACTCCTACTATATTGGCATTTTTTCCATTTTTCGCTCAACGTTTTACAATGCAAGTTTCAAATCCAGTTTTATCTAATAAAACAGTTTTCAACGGATAGAGGACAATTATACCCACTAAATGTACATTTCTACCATTTTTGCATCGCACATTGAAAGTATGCAACAGTTCGATTTCTGGTTTTACTTGGTGTTACAAAAACTGCAATTATGCAGATAAAACTACACTTTTTGCAATTCTAAGTGCAGCATTGGCAACTATTGTGTCTCTCCTGCAATTAAATGCATTTTTGTGGCTAAAATTGCGTTTGTTTTGACTGAAACGAATTCACTTGCGTGGTGCAGTTCAAAATTTTATATAGTTTGATTGGAAGCTGCAAAAGTAACTTTAATTTTCACTCTTTTTTTCAAAAATTAAAGATAACGTAATTTTTTGAACCAAAACTTGAACAAACAGATTTAAATCTAGTTTTCTGTGACAAAACAAGAAGAAACAACAATTTAGCTCAGTTTTGAACAGCTAAGTCACAATTATTCCCACTAAATCGACAATTCTACCAATTTTCATAACAAGACTGAAAATAATGCATCAGTGAAAATTCTAGTTACATTTATTTAGGTGCAAAACCTGCAGTTCTATGCATACATTTTACAAACTATAAATGACAATTACTACTACTGTATCGATATTTCCATAATTTTTGCAGCAAAATTTGAATAAATCACAGTTTTAGACCTTGTCGTATATGGGAAAATAGAAAGGAAACTAAGTAAGATAATTTAGTCGAGTTGTCAGTCAGCTAGCTGGTAAAAGTGCCAATCATTTTCCCTAAATCGACATTTCTACCGCACTTTTTAACCATTTTTTTTTGTCAAATTATTTAACTCCGCGTTAATATACAATCTATCTAAATTTTCAGTTAACTATTGTACTTAATGCTTAAATTTTCTTAATTTATGAGTAAGTGAAAGCAAAATGACTCCAAGTGCAGACAGTTTCAAATGCTTTCGCTTTGGCTGGCTGAATTATTTAGCGATTGAAGCTTGAAAGGGACAATTACTCCCACTAAAATCCCTGCACATATTTTCGCTTAAATCCATATTAACAAATTGAGTTAATCTAATCGATAAATACCAGGCACTGATCATCGATAAAACTGTTCGATTTAAACCTTTAAGCAACAAATCGCTGCTAATTGTTTAAATAAAGTTCCCGCTAATTAACACATTATCTGTGATATTTCTAATTCGGTCGCAAATGTTCCACATATTTCACACTTTTATCAGCATTTTTGTATGTCTAGGTGAACGAAAACATTGTAAAACCAATTTTTAGTTATTTCTCGTCAATTGGCTTGCCCAAGGACGCTTCGAAAACATGTTATAGATAATTGCCGCAATTATCAAAGCTTACCGTATTATTAAAAAAAAATTGATACGAAACATTGTAGTAATCAGCATGTAGGCGTGCAATGAAAAATCCTCACATGAAGAGATTCTGAAGACTGACTTAAAAAAATTTTGGATGTTAACAATTAGGTATAGGCAGAAGAGAACATGATGTTTTTTTTAAATAGTTTTACATTGTGTGCTTTGCACTTAAGACATGAGCCGACTCGGCTGTTCCTCATCGGCAGGTTTACATTTTCAGAATCCTCTGATTTTAAACTATTATAAAATTGTTCAAAGTAATAATCAAAATAAAATTATGTGTTCTTACTCAACGTTTGAAATGCAATTAAATTAATTTCGACCTTTGGTTTCAGGTAGGTGTTTTTTGTTCACCCAAGCTAATTCAGAGGGGTAAGTATTTTGTCTAATTCGCGAAATAATATGTCGTGTTTCGGTCATCTGCTTGACATAATTTGATGTACGATGAAGGAAGGTCCCGCCGATTCTCAATCGATCTTAATTAGCGGCCGGCCAAGCGGAAAACCATCAACGTAATCATTTCCTTTGACAATTTTTTCGTTTTGGTTCGTAACCGAGTTTCCGTTCACGTTACATAGATGGGTAGGAAAAAGTTTCCTAAACGGATATTTTTCCCATGTAATCATCTTACGTGGCCAATGAATTACGCAACGGAGTAGGTACTCAGGATGATAAAAACTGATGTCGTAAACACTTATCTTGAGTGTTGAGGAAATGTGGCTACAGGGCTAAAAATTATTCAATTAACTAGTGGATTTTTGCATTTATTGTATGTCGAATCGGCTAAAGCACGTTAGAATTGTATAATTTTGGCATCATTGAACACCAACTCTTTCAATCGAACTCCCAAATCGTCGCTGACGTTGTTAAACACATCCACAATCCGTTCTTGGATCGTGCGATTTGCCAGTTTAATTGCACCTGCCAAGTTATGTACCTGCAAGTTATACAAACATTTATTTTGGACGCGTTTCGATCTGTATCAACATTAACTGGGTTTCTTGCATTTTGCTTGGAAAGTTATTTGGTTTCTTTCAATGAGCAAAGTTGTTTGCTTGTCGCCAGCAGTTTTTTGTGCAGGGAGACGAACTTAAGTGCAGGGGATTTGATTTTGGAAAACATGTTAAAACTGGTAAAGGAGCAGGGAACTTGAAAAATAAAGCAAATACTGTGATTCCAGGAAAATGCAGTTAAAAGTTGGCATTTTGTTTTTGAAACGAAAGTTAATCAGTTTAGTTTCGAGATTGCAAACTCAACTGATGAAATTTTCAGGAAAATCGTGGGTATCTGAAAGTTTCTTTAACTGACCTATTTTTCGCTACCTGGAAACTGCACTGAGTTTATTTTCAATGATTTAGAAGGCAACTATTTGTGGGGCTTTTGAGTTATCTTTTTTTTTATATACTGGACGTAAAAATATGTAGCTTTAACTCTTAAAGAGTTGAACTGTTGTGTCTTGAGTTTTAATTGTTTTTGAGTTGGCCCTCCAGTGAAAAGATCTACCATTGGAGTCTCAACTTCAAAATGCTCCAAAAAATCACCACATGTTCCGATCTTGGTCAGGATTTGTCTATATACACTTCAAACCTTCAGATGTAACGCGTAGAAACTTATTAGAATTTTATGGCGACTTATTCGCCTTTTTTTGGAATTTTTTTGGGTGCTTGATGTGTGAAAATTTGGCTGAAGGTTTGAAATCTTCCAATACTTCAGTCGACATCGGAATTTAAATTAGAGTTGGTCTACTTGCACCCTGAAACTTCATCTCCACTGTCTGTCGAGTTAAATTTATTTTCCGATTTTTTTGGGAGTTTGGAGTTTTTGGGGTGAATCTTTAAAAGTGGAAGTGTCTCCTATTTCGGTCTCAACTCAACAAAAATCAACTTCTTTACCGATCAGGGTTGGGCTTTGTCAATGTGCAGTTAAAACCTGCAGATATACTTTAAAAAACTTCAAAGTTTTATCGCTCCATGTTTTCGAGTTATGTAGTATGAGTATGAACTTTTGAATCATTTATGAACGTTGACGTTTTTCGGATTACAGCTTCAAGTTAAAAAAAACTCTAAAAAATCAATCCGCAAGTTTTTTGTGTGTACACTTGAAACCTTCAGATACAGATAAGTTCAATTTCTTTCCAGTTCTTGTTCGCGAGTTTTGAATTTTTAAGTGAATCTTTAAGAGTGAAAGTTTCTCCGATTTCAGGTTCAACTTCAAAAAGCTCCACAAACTCAATACTCCGTTGGATTTAAGTCAGGTCTTGCGTTTACACACGAAACCTTCAGATTCACTGTGTAAAATCTTCAAGTTTTTGTCTCGTCATATTTTTGACTTTTTGAACATTTTTTCGATGCTTGAGCACCAAAAAATGTTGGAGTTTGGCCTAAAGTTTGAAAGCTCCTAATGGTTCAGCCGAAGCCGGAATTTAAGTTAGGTTTTGTCCACTTGCACAACACCCACAAAGAGAAAACATAGATAGATTTACTCGATGTTGATCACCAACCTCAATGGAAATGAAAGCTATGATGAGGAAGAGTATTGGTCGAGTCGCGGAAGCGCGAAAAAAATTGTTTTCGGCTAGTTTGGGAGCCGGATGATTCTTTAAATACTGGAAATAATTACCAATCTGTTTTTGGCCCCCTCATCCAATACTTGCTCCCAAAACGCTCTCGGCTGGGAGTAATTGTCCTCCTCGTAGAACTCTGGATAGTAGTTTTCAAAGCCCGCAACATACTCTGGAGGTGGAGTCCAACTTTCAGCAAACGGATCGGAATTGGGTCCTCCGAAGGAGTTCGGATAATAGTTGGGTGCTCCTCCTTGGTTAAAAGAGCACATGAAGCCGTCGCGTTGGAAGTTGTTCTGAAAATACGCCATCCAAGTAAAGGGCAATTGTGTATGTGAATCAGCTGGTTTATGTTGTGGATCAATCAAAGTTTCTCTATTGGACCTACCGTAAGATTAATGGGTTTATTGACTGGAATTTGTTGGAAATTTGCTCCTAATCGATACCGATGGGCGTCCTGGTAAGCAAACAACCTTCCCTGCAAAAGTCGATCTGGAGACGCCCCAACTCCAGGCGTCAAGTTGTTTGGGCTGAAAGCCAGTTGTTCGATTTCGGCGAAATTGTTGCTGGCATTTCGATTCAGAACGAATCTTCCCACTTCGATCAGTGGAAACTCTTTGTGTGGCCACACCTGCAGGAAAGTGTTGGTTCACACGTGTGTAATCGGTTTGAATGGAAATTGAAAATGCCTTGGTAATATCGAAGGGGTTGAACTTCTGCAGTTTGGCCTGTTCCGGTGTCATCAGCTGGACGTAGAACGTCCATGATGGGTACTTTTTGATGTAGCCATCGACTTCACTGATTGATTCGTATAAATCCCTGACGGCGTAATCCGGGTCTCGGCCTGCAATCTTTTCTGCTTCTTCAGGATCCAAATTTTCTATTCCTGAAATATCATCATTGTGTTTGAAAGCGAAAATCTGCTTTATCGAAGGGAAATGAACAATCTGGGTGTAATTACAAAATATTTCAAATATGTCATTCGACAAGTCCGGTAATGATTTTTCAAATGCCGATAACATAGCTTCCTTATCAGCATTTCCACGTAACCGGTTGCCAAGTGCTAATAGTGTATTCAAGTATTTTTTTGTAATTCTCCACTTGCCTTGATCGGTTTTGTAAATGAATTTGCACCACGTCAACTTCCGGTCTTTGTTGATCAGTGAGAAGGTGTGCGACCCGAATCCGTGTTGGTGGCGGTAACTTTTCGGAATTCCTCTATCCGAAAATAGAAACATCACCTGCAGAACATTGGCTCATTTATGTGAGACGAAATCGATAATAATTGTAGTTTTTTATTCATGCTGATCGTTGATGAGAGCATGAAATCGCCTTTTGTGGCGTGGCTTGTTGGGCATTTTTTATTTGCTGCGTCATTTCTTTTCTTTTTTAATTAAAGCTGTTTAACAACGACCTCTTTGTTCAGCGATAAGAGCATTAAGGGTTTGCAGAGTACTGTTGGGTGAATTTTGGAAAGTAAAGGCTTACTAATTACAACCAATAAAAAAACTAAAGTATAGTTTGCGGCAAGAAAAACTGTAGCTGTAGAAAAACAGGAGTTCAGATCGTATTTGCTTCAGAAGAAGAGAACCAGTTAAATAGGGAAGTATTTGCATTTTTGAGTTTAAAGTTTCAAAACTGTATAACTGCATATTTTTTAGGGCTTATTATGTCAAAAGTTTAGTTATGGTTCGGTACGCTTATGAAGCTGAAGGTGCTCAAGTTTGAGCTTTGCTTAAGATCACTCTTCGATCAAAAGCTCATATGAAGGAATCGCTGTGATTTGAGTTCGACTGGTGCGATTTGAGTAATTTTCGCAGTGTTTTTAGATTCTACTGTCTTATATAGACTGTGAAGGTTTCAAGTTGCTACTCGCTCCAGATTAGACGTTAAGAGTTTTTATTTAATAGCAACCGCGTGAAAATTTATTTTTCAAATCAACTTTTGCAACTGGTCGCACAAATTAGGATCTGAGGCGATTTACATAAAATTTTCAGCGGCTTTAGCTTCTGCTGTCTTTTATAGACTCTGAAAATTTGAGGACTCTACTTGATCTTGATTAGAAGCTAGAATTTTTTATTGGTGTCTGTACTTGCAAGGAAACGTTCATGTTTAGACCAACATTAACAAAAATTGCGTAAATTAGCCGTTGATGCGATTTGAATAAAGTTTTAGAGGTTTTCAGATACAAGCCTTTAGCATAAAATGCGAAAGTTTCAAGTTGCAACTCGTTCTAAATCAGAAGTTATAAAGTCACAGTTGCTTGTGAACTTAAATTTTCAAATTCAAATAAACTTCTAGCGGTTTTTTGGGCCAGGTATCTGTTATTGGCTATGAAAATTTTAAGTCGCGACTTGCTCTTAGTTAGACGTTAGATTTTCTGTTGGAGGGTCAGCACTTGCTTGAAAAGATTCATTTTAAAGACAATTTTTTTTCGGATTAAATTTTAAGGCTTTTGAGAAGTAAGAGTCTTTTATATATTGTTAGTAAGTTTCTAGTGAGTGAGTAGCTCACTCTAACTGTAGGTTAGAAGTGAAGAATTTTTATTGAAAAGTTGGATTTGCGTGAAAATTTTGGGATCAACATTTGCAAAATGCGCAAACATCAGCATCTGATGCGATTTGATTAAAATGTTTTTAGACTGAAGTGTCTTTTATACACTGTGAAAGTTTCAAGTTGCTACTCCCTGCAAATTAGAAGTTACAATTTTTTATTGAAGGACTTGCACTCGCTTGAAAACGTTTAATTTTTGGATCAACATTTACGAATGGCAAAAAATTCAGACTTGTCGCGTTTTGAGTGAAGTTCTGATGATGTTTAGATGCAAGTGTTTTAAATAGGCTGTTCAAGTTTCAAGTTGCTACTCGCTTTATATTTGAAGTTAACATTTTTTTAAGAAAATGCTTTTTTAAGGAAGAGTATTTGATGCGATTCAAACAAAATTTGAAGGGTTTTAGACTGAAGTGGCTTTTATAGACTGAAAGTTTCAAGTTGCTACTCGACGCAGGCTAGAAGTTTAGAATTTGATTTTTTTGAAGACGTTCTGAAGAAACGTTTTATAGAAATATATGAAAATTTCAAGTTGCTACTTGCTGCAGATTAGAGGTTCCAAATTTTTATTGAAGAATCTGCAGTTGTGAAAGTTGCAAGTTTTTTCAAGTTAAAGTTTTTCTTGTAGGTCCTGAAGTTGCGCGAAAACGTTCATTTGTAGGGCAAATTTTAAGAAAGGCTCATGAATGAGCATCTGAGGCGATTTGAATAAAGGTTTGATGTTTTTTAGACTGTCGTATCTTTTATAGACTGTGAAATTTTCAAGTAGCTACTCGCCGCAACTTACGACTAGTTATCGAAGAGCCTACAGTTCTATGAAAGCATTTGATTTTTTGAATATTTTCGAAGGTCGCAAAAATCCAGATCTGACGCGATTTGAATGAACTTATCAGAGTTTGTAGATGCAAGTGTCTTTTATAGACTGTGAAAGCTTCAAGTTGCTACTCGCTCTAAATTAGAAGTTGATATTCTTGGAGATCCTGAAGTTGCGTGAAAACGATCATTTTTAGGGCAAATTTTACGAAAGGCGCATCAATCAGGATCTGGTGCTATTTGAATAAAATTATGAGGTTTATTAGGCTAACGTGTCTTTTATAGATTGTGCAAATTTCAAGTTGCTATTCTTTCTAGGTTAGAAGTTACGAATTTTTATTCAAGAGCCTGCATTTGCATGCAAACATTACATTTTGGTATAGCGATTACAAAGGACGCATAAATTAGCATCTGATCAAATGTGGATCAACTTTTCGGGGTTTTTAGGCTCAAGCTTTCTTTGTAGATTTTGAAAGGTTCTTGTTAACGTTAAATTCTAAAAATGTAACATTTGCAAACGGCCCAAAAATGCACATCTCACACGACTGAAATGAACTTGTGAGAGTTTTTAGACTCCCTAGGCCCTAAAATATGTCTGACTTTTCCTCATTTAATTGGTTCATCTTCATCAACCTTTGCATATATTAGAAGATCTTGTCCATGCATATTTTCGTGTAGTCATGCAAAAAATTATCATTTCTCTCATCATTTTATCTCACCTGATGTACAGACATGGGAGTGAGAGAAATATAATCCCAAAAAGCATCCCAATCCCTCAAATTGGTGACCGGATTCCGCTTCTGACTATGTATGAACATGGGGAACAGAATGGGATCGCGCATGAAGAAAATGGGAGTATTGTTTCCAACCAGGTCCCATATTCCTTCATCTGTGTAGAATTTCAATGCGAAACCTGCAATTTTCGATGTTCACGCAGGGTGCGAAAGGTATTTGCTTAAGAAACATACCGCGTGGATCTCGAACAGTGTCAGCTGAACCCAAATTGCCGGCAACAACGGAAAACCTGCAAAGTAAATTTGAAGCAAATTGAAGCTCAATTTTCTATCGCCCCATTTACCTCACTGCAATTGAAGTTCGTTTGTCCACTGCTTCAAACACTTTGGACACCGTGTAGGCACTGAGCTCTTTGGTGCATTCAAAGTAGCCAAAGGCGCCTGCACCTTTAGCGTGCACAACTCTCTCGGGAATTCTCTCCCTAAAAATTCAGTATTAATGCGTTTTCAAGGGGTGAATGATGTGCTTTTACTACCTATTGAAATGGCTGAGATGCTCGATCAATTGCCAGTCTTGCAGCGGAATTCGCCCATTTTTTCCAATCGTTAAACTCGTTTTTGCATTGACTATTGGTATTCCGGCGCTGTTGGTGGCGAAGCCAATTTTTTCCTAAAAATCAAGCCCGAAGATTAACTAAAATGTGAATCTAGGGCCTGTTTGAAGGTAAACTAGGACGATTTCATGCATCTTCAATACATCCGATCCGACATCTTTCCCGATCTTCTGCTATTATCTGTGAATGACCCTTGCGTTCTTTTGACTTGCTAAAGTTCATTTTCATGTGATTATTGACCCTTTTGGTAGAAAGTCTTGTAGATGTTAAACCTAACTGTTCTTTCATTAATAGTTTTAGTGTGGTTGATTGATTATTATTACTAACACTGTTTCTGAAATATTTATATAAATGTTTTTTTTTATGAAAAATCCCTATATCGGGGTTTTGTTAATCCACATTATTTCTCTTATTACGTTTAGGTCTTTTTAAGGCGGTTTCCAACGATAGGAAAGGAAACATCGCCAAGAATTCAAAATAAGAAAGTTTCTTTGGTTTCATGCTAAATGAAAGGATAAGAGTTTGAAGAAAATTAGTGTACGATTTCTTAGGTTGATTTATTGTTGTTTGTTTCTTGACGTTTTCTTTTCAACTTTGCAACAGACACTTTTCTCAAAAACAGTATTCTTGACTGCAAAGTCTGCAAGGACCTGCAGACTTCTTCAGTAGTAAGTTTTTTTTATTCTGAAATCAGATACGTATTAATTTATTCAAGTTTTGACTTGTTCAATGTATATGTTTTTTGACTGTGACGGCATCTTATTAGTCGGCTACATTAATTCGTCAGTTTGGCAACTAAAAATAACTGTCGAAAGAATAAAAAAGATTAAAAATTGCATGTTTTTTCTGCAAAATAATGTCTGCAACAGTTAATAGTCAAATAGATCAAATAGACCGATTGGCAAATTTTCGGTTCAAGATTTAAGAAAAAACAATAGAACAGTAGCGTAATTGGTATGTTTGCAGTCATCAACAGTTAAATAATTAATATTCTACGCTTCGGCTTATGTTGGCATGACTGAGTGACTAATTTTTTGCTCCGTGCAACGATAAGAAATGAGGAAATTTTACGATTCAATAAGCTGGGAAAATGCTAACTTTGTCCTCTTTTCCGTGAACTTTATCGTTTATATCAACGGTGGATTGGTTGTATGCACGAAAAAAAATCTTCAGCTGTGAAAACCGATACATTGTTCCCTTCATTCTTTTCTGTGTAATTGTTCTGTTTTTTTTTTAGATTAGCTGGGGAATTTTTGTGAGAACAACTGATTATTTCAGAAAATTTTTATGAAAGTGTTTTTTTTTAGGGTTGAAATTTGCGCAATTCTCTCATTTTGTTTTTTAATTTTGTGACGAATCAGAATCTGTTGTTAATAAAAGTTGGTCTTTTTAAAATATCAAGCATGCGAAATGGTTACCAGTACCTCATTTTGTATTTTCCACTTTTCCAACTGTTTGTCCGCTTCGTTTCTGCTACTCATTTTTTCCACACTAAACATGAAGCAAACGATCTGGTTTTGCACATTTATCTGTTTCTGGGTCACTTATGCACTTTTGAAGGAAGTGGTAGCACTTGCATTACGATAAATCAATGTTTTGATGTTTTTCTTTGTGGTTTCCTGAATTTCGTTTATTTATACAGGGTGTAGTCGATGCTTAGAGTTTCAGACAACGTTTTTTGAGGTTTAATTTTTGGAAATTTAGGTAATTGAGCTGAAGCGCTTTTGGTATTAATTTCACATTTTTAAGGTGTATACTGGGTTCAGCTTAGTGGCTCCCATCCAGGAGAGCTAGAGACGAATATTCTTTAGGTAAAAGACTAGAGAGAAATTAATCTATTTTCTTTCGACTTGCTCAACTTCATTTTTTCATGTGATTTGTGACTTTGGTTAGGAGTCTTGTAGATGTTGAACCTAACCGTTCTTAAGTTTCTTTAGTTTCATGCTAGATAGTTACGCTACGCTAAATGGATAAGAGATTGAGGGAAATTCTGGTACGATTTCTTAGGTTGATTTGGTTCTTTGTTTCTTGATGTTTTCCTTTCAACTTTGCAACAGACACTTTTCTGTTTCTTTTTTTTCACTTTCTTTCACTTTTGTTACTGTTTTTCATTTTCTTTCAAAAACAGTATTCTTGATAAAATTGTGTTGAATTTGCTTTTGGGAAACTTGCTCGGTGAGAGGTTTTTGAAAAAGCTACAAAAATGAGTTTTCCAACGAAAAACGATTGAATCATTTTGAATACGCCAATGAACAGAAGGGCTCAAAAAATTGCTCGAAATCTGCAGCCCAGAGTTTCGCATTTATTTTCTCTGTAACGTTCAAAGTAAGTAAGTAAGTTAGTTTTGGAAGAATTTTGTAGGGCAAAATCTCTTCTCTAAGGCGGCTTTTAGGCAATTTTTCACAATGTTTCCAAATTGCGTCTGGTTTCGAAGGCTGTTTTGCAGGACAGAGTTTGAAATGTATTCAGGAACTAAGGAGAGGCGCTTTTGTATGCATTTTGTGCGGAAAAGTTCATTGTAGATGCATTTTGTAGTAAAAATGGTTCATTTGTCTGAATACTGTCTTAATAAGGCAATTTTCAAGAATTTTTCAAAGTTGCATGCGATCTTTGCCGATTTTTAATCAGGTCGTAGTACTTTAATATTTAGTTGCTCAGAAGCTCGAAGTTAGTTTGGGTTAGTCACACTTGTCTCACATCTGTAGAGCAAATTCGACACTGGAAGTGAAAAACGGTTCGATTTTGATTCATCCTCAGGAATATTTTCAGGGCTTCGTTTGTAGCAGGTTTAGGTTGATTTTTACAGTTTTTGATTGCCACTGTCCAACTTCAGCAGTTTCAATTTTTTCATCCTGACATTGTTTCTTACATTTTCTGATTCGCTTTCATAAAATCCTGTCTCACAATTGTCGTCTATTATCTGCTTCCTCTTCTCTGCTTTGACTATTTTTTTGTCTATCCTGATTTCATGTTTATTTAATTGTTTTTCTTAGATTGAATTATTCTTTCTATCCGAAGTTTCCAGCTACTGTTCATTAATTTGAATATTTTATTTCCAATGCGGATTACTGAAAAATGTTATTTTCGTTAATTTGGCATTTTGGGAAAATAACTTATCAAAATCTTCAATTATTTGATGAAATTTCACATTTCTCTTTTCGCGCGTTTGTGCATTTAAAATTGCATTATTCGTTTAATGTCTGCAATGTGTATTGTTTCCGATTAAATAATGGTTTTTTGATGAACAAACTTGACTATAGAGTAGTATCAATTTGAAAATTAAACTGTTGTCTAAGAATTTCTTTAATATTCGCAGCGGGTTTCCACTTTTTCTTAATCTTAATGACTTATTACTGGTTTGCAGCACCAGTTGGCGGGTTTTTGCCTTCAAGTCCAGCTATTAAGATTTTTTCTGCTATTAGCGGGTTTCTTAGCACCTGAATGAAGGCGCTTTCGTCTCTTACAATTCAGTTCTTCTGTATTTTTTATTTCATGTTTGCTATCCACAATTACTTTTTTGTCATGTATTGTGTTTTCTAATGGAATTCGGGCGGCCATCAATAAATATTTTATCACTTTCACATTTTTTTCGTTAAGGATCTTTCAGTAGTAAATTTTTTTGATTCAGAAATCAGATCAAATTCTCGACAGACTTTTACGTATTAAATTATTCAAGTTCTGAGCTGTTCAATATCAGTTCTTTGGCTGTGACCGCTTCTTATTAGCCTTTTACTGGTCCGATTAATTCGTAGGTTTGGCAACTAAAAATGTCTGTTGGAAGAATGATGAAGATTAACAATTTTAATTTTATTTAAAAAACATTTAAAACAACTAATTATTTCTGAAAATGTTTTTTTTTAATTTGAGGCTTGAAATTTACGCAATTTTCGCATTTCTTTAAAATTTTGTTGCTTTTTATAAAAGATCAAACGTACCAAAATCAAATGGTTACCAGTACCTCATTTTGTAATTTCCAGTTTTCCAACTGTTGGTCCGCTTCGTTTCTGCTACTCATTTTTTCCACACTAAATCACACACTAAACCAACACTAAACATGAAGCAAACGACCTGGTTTTGCGTATTTATCTGTGTTTCTTGGACATTTATGCAGTTTTGGAGGAAGTGGTAGCACTTGCATTGCGATAAATTGGTGTTTGGATGTTTTTCTTTTAGGTTTCCTGGATTTTATTTATTGATGCTGGGCTCCATTTTGGGAAATTTAGATGATTGGGCTAAACCAATTTGCCATTTTTAATCTAGTATACTGGGTGTTCAGCTCATTGGCTCCCGTCCAGGCGAGCTAGAGACGAATATTCTTTTGGTAAAAGACTCGAGAGAAATTAATATATTTTCTTTCGACTTGCTCAACTTTTTCATGTGATTCGTGACTCTTTTGGTAGGAAGTCTTGTAGATCTTGAACCTGACTGTCCTTTCATTGATAGTTTTAGTGTGGTTGATTGATTATTATTATTAACACTGTTTCTGAAATATTTATATAAATGTGTTTTTTAATGAAAAATCTGTCTATCGGGGTTCTAAAAGGATAAGTGTTTGGGGAAAATTATTGTACGATTCCTTAGATTGATTTATTGCTGTTTGTTTAAAAAAAACAGTATTCTTAATAAAATCTGCAAGGACCTGCAGACTTTTTCAGTAGTAATTTTTTTTATTCTGAAATCAGATCAAATTCTCGACAGATTTGTACGTATTAATTTATTCAAGTTTTGACTTGTTCAATGTATAGGCTTTTTTCCTGTGGCCGCTTCTTAGTAGTCGTTTAGTGGCCCGATTAATTCGTCGGTTTGGCAACTAAAAATTACTGTCGGAAGAATAAAGAAGATTAAAAATTGCATTTTTTTCCGGCGAAATAATGTTTGACACAGTTAATAGTCAAATAGACCGATTGGAAAATTTACGGTTCAAGATTTAAGAAATAATAATAGAACAGTAGCGTAATTGGTATGTTTGCAGTCATCAACAGTTAAATAATTAATATTCTACGCTTCGGCTTGTGTTGGCATGACTGAGTGACTAATTTTTTGCTCCGTGCAACCATAAGAAATGAGGAAATTTTACGATTCAATAAGCTGGGAAAATGCCTTAGTTTGTCTTCTTTTCCGTGAACTTTATCGTTTATATCAACGGTGGATTTGCTTGAATGGACGAAAAAAATATTCAGCTCTGAAAACCGACAAATTGTTGTCTTTTCTTCACTGCGCTTCATTCTTTTTTGTGGAGTTTTTATGTTATTTTTTAGATTGGCCGGGGAATTTTTGTGAGAACAATTGATTATTTCTGAACATTTTTATGAACATGTCCGTTTTTTTTTTATTTTAGGTTTGAAATTTGCGCAATTTTCGCATTTTTTATCGAAACAAAGTCTGTTGTTAATAAAAGTTGGTTTATAAAGTATCAAGCGTGCGAAATGATTACCAGTACCTCATTTTGTAATTTCCACTTTTCCAACTGTTTGTCCGCTTCGTTTCTGCTACTCATTTTTTCCACACTAAATCACACACTAAACCAACACTAAACATGAAGCAAACGACCTGGTTTTGCGCATTTATCTGTGTTTCTGTGTCATTTATGCACTTTGGAAGGAAGTGGTAGCACTTGCATTGCGATAAATCAATGTTTTGATGTTTTTCTTTGTGGTTTCCTGAATTTCGTTTATTGCTACAAGGTACAATCGCTGCTTAGGGTTTCAGAAAACGTTTTTTGAGGTTCAATGTTTGGAAATTTAGATAATTGAGCTAAAGCTTTTTGGCATTCTTAAGCTGTATACTGGCTGTTCAGCTTTGTGGCTCTCGTCCACGCGAGCTATAGAGGAATATTCTTTTGGTAAAAGGCTCGTGAGGAATGAATATATTTGGAAATGTTAGTGGTCCAAATGCATGTGGCATGTGAAGGATATTTTCGCAAACGCATGTTTTTATTTTTTGAGTGCAAAAATTTGGCATTTTGAGCAATTTTCAGGTTTCATTTTTTCTCGAAAACAAAGTAAAAATAATACAAGAATCACAATAATAAAAGTGATTCTCTATAAAATGTCCATGCTTTCAAACCTGGTTTTATAGAATGGAAGACCGCCAGTTCAGCAGCCCATTTGCAGAGTTTCTCTTTCGGTCTTCATTTTTCTGTTAATCTTCCGATTAAGCATAAGCATTTCCCGACAATACCGGTGATGTAAAGGCGTTTGGACAATGCATTTCAGTATTTTCAAACGTAATTATTGCCCCAGAGCATGCCAATTTCGTATGGCATGAGTGCAGTACTGTTGTTTCTTGGACAGTACCTGGAGCAGCGATTTTCTAAGAACCGTGAGATTCCTGAAACGGCAATTTGTTGTTGCACTGTACCGGTGCATCGGACTTTGCCATTCTTTTATTGCATTCCGGACCGGGGAGAGTTTTTATCCGAATCACGGTATATTTGAGCTCGATGTATTTTATGCGGTTTAATTAACTAAGTTGTTATTTATCAGTGCGGTTTGATGCCGAAGAGAAAGGCGCCAGGTGAAGCCAAATACATGCCGAATGTCTGGAAATGAGGAATTTTGTTTTTTTCTCGGAGGATCAGTTTTTCGTAGAAGTGTATTCAAAAGGTATGGAACAAGAAAGGCGTCGATATCGTTTTTGTATTTTAAGCAAAATAAAATTAACGTTTGCCGACTTATTTGCTTATGACTGGGAATGTTTCTATTATTTGGATATTTATAATCCACATCGCATTTTACTTTACGAGAATCCTTGTTGTTTGCAAGAAAAAGTCAACAGCCTGAACTTTTAGTTCAATATGTAGGTTTATTTCAAAGCGAATCGAATCTATGGGACACTCGATAATTTCCAATATAATCTACATTTATTCAAATAGTTCTGTTTGCTTCTTCTGCTCCTGTTATTAACTCTCTCCAAGATTTTTTTCTTATCACAGCTGTGTCGCCCGCATCAGCTCCACACGCAATTTTTTTGTTTTTGAAGCTTTATTCGGATATTTTTTCCTACTGATCAAAACCTTTTAAGGAATTAATTAAAATTAAATTATGTACAGGATGTTGCATAATTACACCCACAAACTTAGGCAGATACAAGAACGAAAGAGACAAGAAAGTTTGTCATTTGAACAAGGAATTTATGGAAATGTCTTTAGGAATCAGTGGCGTGGGACCAGAAAGTTTGGGTGGATGAAAGAGTAGGTACATGACCCTCAAAAAATTGTATCCCTGTACATTCTGGCCCCAGTCTGAGACAGATCGATGTAGACTCCAGAGCGTCACATAATGTTCCAAATTTGATCTAAATATTGTGAAATTTGCAAAAATCCGAACGGAAAAATCGAGCAAAATTGATAATTTTAACTCTCTGTATCTCGAGCTGATAGTATGATTTATACAAGAAATGGAATAAAAAATTTAAAAAAGGGAGCTTGCTAAAATCCACAAAATTTGATTAGAAAATGTTAAGGACAATGAAAAAAACCACGTGAAATTCTTAGGAGTCTAACTTCACTAAAGCTATATTTTTCACTAGATAAGTTAATGTGTTTCCCTGAAATCGGTATAAATTTCCAGCTATTGGCGCAATATTACTAATTAATATTATTCTTGTTATTATTTATTTATCCCAGAATTAAACCTTAATTAAATTCGTCGACCAAACTTGATAATCAATTAAAAACCCCATTAAAAAATGCCGCAAAAAATATATGAGAAAATAAATTACCAATATTAACAAACTAGAAAAACCAATATATAAAGATGTGGAAATAGTCGGTTAAAACATATCGGTGAAGAAACCGCCATAAAAACCTTTTATTCGCGTGGAAAAATGTGGATTTCGCAAAATGTTCTTGAATTTCGAGATTTTATGAGAGCGTTTAAAATGCGTAATAAAATTGCATTGTTTTCTCACACGCGCTTATTTTTGACGAAGAAAGCAATTGTAAATTCCGACACTGAAAGGATTTGCATAGACAATAGCAATCATTAGCATTTGCAGCATTCATATGAAATGAATAAAATGAGCATTTGCAGCCACTGTTTATCAAAACAATGTAAAAATGACTGAATAATTGCCTTAGAATGACATAAAAATGCATGTTTGTGTATAAACGAGTTATATTTCTGTATAGAAAGTTGTAATGACTTTTAAATTTTCAGGGGAATTTTGTAAAAATTCCAGCCCAAATGTGTGAATGAGTTTTCGCACAAATTGCGCCAATTTTCGCTCTGCCATCAACTCGCAACTCTCTATTCTCACGTTATGGCATTATTGCCATTGCTCTTTAATGAACTCACGATTTCCCGTAAGACACAAGAGGCCGAGAAGGAACCAATTATTTCGTCTTTCGGCCGTTTTGTCAGTTGGTTTAATCGTTGAGCAAAATCGCCGATTAACAATTTATGATCAAACCGGCCAAGAAGTTACGAGCCGGACGTTAATAAAGCCCATAAACCCGAAAATCGATGATTAAACATCGAGAGTACGATCGTACCTCATTTTGTATCTTCCACTTTTCCAGCTGTTTGGCCGCTTCGTTTCTGCTGCTCATTTTTTCCACTCAAAATCGAACACTAAACATCGAACAAACGACCCGGTTTTGCTTATTTATATGTGTTTATGGGTCAAAGATGCACTTTTGAAGGAAGTGGTCACACTTGCATTGTGATAATCCAATGTTTTGTTGTTTTCCTGTGTGGTTTGTTGGTTTTTCGTTATGTCTTGCATGGGAGGAAACGTCGGACATTATTTTCATTTGAACGTTATAACGCGGAAAATAAAATGGTTTAGGTAGTTGTCCAATTAAGAACTGAGTTGAGATCGATAACATCAGATTTTAATTTCGCTTTATTTTTTTGTATTGATTAAAATAAGAGCGCAGGAGACCGAAGAATCGCTAACTTTTCAAAGCACTATTTTTTGTAGATCTTATCAAATTCATTTTTTCATCAATTTTATTTTGTTTATTTCATATTTGGTTTGATTTTTAAATAATTTCGTAGGAGAATTTCATGTTCAGTTTGATGCTGCGTTCAGTATTTTTCGACTCGTTCCAAATCAAATTAAATTAGCTACAATCCGGTGAAAACCGCAATTTTTACGCATTCTTTACTGGGGCTCGAGATGCAATCAAAAACATCAGTTAACACAAGGCTAATCTCGTGTTAATAACGTCGTAAGGATATGAACATGTACAAAATCGAATTTAATATATTTTTTTAATTAATACTTTATTGACGCAGTCAAAAGCAAGTTTCTAAATAAAATATCTCCTATGTTAATAAATTAACAAACAAAAATGTATCACAATCGGTTCAATAAACTGGTTAATCTTACGATTGATGGAAAAGGCGGCGGTTTCAAATTGTGCCTGAAGAAATAAGGTTTCAAAATTTGTGCTTAATTTCGTAACTTTTAATTCTAAGTAAATTTTATTTTTTAATAGTCTTATGCTCATATAACTCGAAACAGAATGAAGATGTTAAAACGTGCGCTTCAGCAGGCTGCAAACTCCTCAATTTTTCTACAAGTTCAAGGCAAGGTGGAGTTCGACTAAGTTTTTTGAGAAAATTGCAAATGTTTTTTTGGATGAAGCTTTTAATATGAATTGAAGTACTAAACTTTGAATTTCCCCTTCAAACGAAGTAAATGAGTATAACAACACTGAAAGCTCCATTGCTTTGAATATTTGCTGATTTTTTTTTCTTAAGCGGTTATCGAGAGAGTTGTAGATGGTTGTTCACTGTTTGGATGTGAAGAAAAGATGCTGGGTTAAATATTTTTACTGTTGAAAAATTGCTTTTCTAGTTTATTTGTATGGTCCCGCGGTTCCATTGGTCGTTATTGATTTTCCGCCTTCTTTGTGTATTTTGGTTTTATTTTTTATAGAACATTTTTTGGATGGCGTGTTCAGCTTTACCATCCTAGCCTGAAAAAAATGCCTAAAGTTAAGTAAGTTTTGTTCAGTAATTCAGCGGGGGTTCAGATGAGGAACATTTTTTGCGATACCATTTGAAAGTCGACATTGAAAATGCACAATTTGACCAAACTTCTCACTGTAGATTCGATCTAATAATTGATTTACAACCAGCATCTTTTGTGTTATTTCTCAATGTGTTTCACGGTACGCCGCTGTGGTCCAGATGCTCAAAATCGACATTCCTCAGCAGTAAAAAGCCGAGTACAAAAACATTTCACATTGACCTGAGTTGTTTCTCCCGGCATGGCGCCCAATGTCCTTCACTCGGTCTCATTAAGATTTATCGCCAAAGCCCGTGCAATTTGTCCATGTCCATGACTTCTTGTCAACTCTTTCGCCCCAATAAGCATATTCAGCGCATGAAAAAGCCCATTCGAGAGGAACGATTACTTATAACGACTCTCCTGGTGGTCGCACTCATCAGCATCTGCCCTGAAAAATATCGCCATAATCAGCAGCATTTCTTGGCCAGTGAAAAAGTGAATCTTCATCAGGCGTTTGTGCAACTCAAATTGGTTGGAACAGCTAATTTGTATTCTTGAAACTAAGCATACAGCAGAAGCCTTAAGTAATTTAACTGGGTGAACATCAATTTTCTTCTGCTCACCAAGCTGAAATAAATCGAAGGGAAGCTCAGATTTTTTTGCCGAATAAACATCGAAGTTTGCTCACAAGTTAAGTGCTCCACTCAAGCGTAGGGCTTTCGCGACGACCGCTTGCAACTGGTGAGTTTTTCGAGGTTTTTGAGCTCTGAAGATGCAAGACGCTCGTGCTTGCAAAGCGTCTCTGGCCTAAAAGTACGAAAAACTCACCAGTTTCACTCTAAGATTATCATCTCTTGGTCCGAAAACGGATGCACCCACACTGTTTCTTCTTCGGATCTGCAGGAATTCGCAATTGTTGAATCATGGCCTCGATTAAGTAACTGTTCCATATTTTCCAAAATAAAAGTCATGCGATCCAGTTTATCGTTTCGGTTATTATTTATTTTCAATGTTCGTCCGATGCAACAAGTAAACATGCTGATAAATTTATTCAACTTAACACTCTATTGATAAGCATTTTAATTTTTCGGTAGATTTTCCTGGCTTCATCATGAATATCCTTGCGTCTTTTCGTGTGAAGGTTCACTGGAAATTTGGAACAGAAATCGGGCAAAAAAACACAAATTCAAGCGATTGACCCACGCATTGAAATAAGACTTTATTTTTACATATATATATGAACACATTTTTGCAAAAATGTGTTCCATCTTAGGAATTAAATACAAAGTTTCATAGTTTTTTAATATTTTGTCTTACATCCTTAAGCAATATGTGTCTCAATTAGATGGATTTTCAAAAAAAATTATGGTATACAGGGTGGCGCAGATGAAACGTAAGTTTTCTGAATGGATAGTGTTTTGCAAGGATAAGAACTGCGCCGCACTGATGTAATATTCCTTTTTTGCGCGCCACCCTGTAAAGTGCTACAGAATTCCATTAGAAAGCACAACTTTCTATGTACAGGGTGATTGAAAATTGTCGCCATTAACTGCAAAAGCTCAATTAACCATAATAAACACAGAAAGTGAGGTTGAAGTGCAATGAAGTGGGTTAGGGTGACGCGTCGTAACGAACGCCAAAAATATCTCCTATGAAAAGTTAGGTTAAACGTTGAGGTGATTGGAATGAAATTAGATGACTGGATGAAAACTTGTAGCAAATACTTTTTAACATGAAAAATTTTCATAATTATGTATATGTAAAGATGGTAATTTTTCTTATCCTTAAGTATTTGAAATAAGTCAACAGACAGGAAGATGTTTTAAAGCGGTGCATAACTTTGAAACTCAAGATTGCACTTGTACAAGATCTAGCAGTCTGAAACCCCATCTAGAGGTTTCGAGTCGAACTTCATCATCAGAGATTTCGCAGAAAAGGAAAAATTCAAAAGAACATTGAAAAATAAAGAAACGGTCATGCGAGGGAATGAAAATGAATCAAAACAACGGCAAAAATAGAAATAACTCGATTGAATTTATTCAACTATGTATTTCAATGGATGAATTTGAAGGAAAAAAATCAACTTGTAAAATCAGTTAAATTATAACGTAGCTTCGAAAAATCGAAAACTTCAGAACCGAATCTGATTCCGATTCGACCATGACATGCGGCCGATTCTTCGTCGTTTGCTGTTTAAGTTGGCCATTCCAAGGAAATGACATAATAGTAGACCGAAGTCTGAAAAACGGTCTATAATAATCGGACCTATCCTTTCATTATTCGCATTCCCACCCAATCAGGAAGCGATTACGATCGTAAAGAATTCTGGTTCGATCCGGTCGTGGCAGTCGTGACGATGTCTTCGGCCACTTTATCTCGACTTCATCGGGGCATTCATCAAACATAACCTCCAGCCTCCAGGGTATAGCGGATAAGAGTATATTTCCGATCCACACACTTTTTCACTGAATTCAGCTAAATTGGCCTTTGATCACTAGACCGAAATTTTCCAGTCCGATGATCCAGCTTCCGAATATCTGCGGTTTAGTTAATTTTCTAGGAGCCACCCCGTAGGTGTTATATATTCCTTATTGGAGTTTCGTGGGGAAATACGTTTTTCCGCCACTTTCCGCTCATTTGCTGCTTTGGTGGAAACGTGGCAACATGTTTCAAGATGGTAAGAAGCCTCGGAGTGGTGGGAAAGATCGTCGCGTGTTTTCTTGTAAGGAAACTGCAAACAATGAGTGAAAACTGACCAAGAAGAGCATTTCCCCAAGAAATTCCACAAAAATCTTAAAATCGTTAAGGAATCCCACAAAAATCTTTGTGTGCAACTGCTGATGTTCCCCTTGAACCCCCTGAACCCCCCAAAACATGGTATTCTTAGCCTTTATCGAAAGTGTGTACACTGACCGATTGTGTTTTAATAATAAACATTAAAAACCTTGCACAACTTTCAGTTGCCTGATCGACACGCGTCCTGCTCGTGTGATTCTTGATAGATCGAAACATTATTATAATAAATACATGGATGTAAACCCCTCCATAACCTCAATATGATGAGGTTATCGATTATCAGTCCCAGGTTATGTTGGACACGCTTATGATAGCGTGGTCTCTAATGGCATGATGTTGTTTTGTTTTTGATATATCAAACCAATTCGCAAAACACGCAATCAGGCAAGCCTTATTGACCAGTGATCGTGTCAAAAATAGATTGTTTCTGCATTTTCAAAAAAATTATACAGGGTGGCCTAATATTTTAGGGATTGAAGAAATATAAAAATATTAATCGTTAGATTGAAAAAGAAACATGCAGAATGTAACGAATTGAAGACACACACACCAACGCTTCAAAGCATAATGGTCCAAATTGTGTAATAAATTAATACAATGTGAGTGAGGCGGTCATTTATGTGAAAATTGTGTCTAAAGTCGTACATTAGCCTTTTTACTACTTCAATATTTGGCTCGTAAAAATGTGCTAAAATCGTGTTTACTTACAAAACTGAAAATAGCATTTTTGAAAACAAATTACTCTGTTAGTAGCAATTGGCTGGCATTTCAATTTTGTTAAATGATCTGATTATAGGGATCATTAAAATGTAAAAGCAATAATTTTATTATTAGTGTACTTTAGACATTGACTAAATAATCGGCATCTATAATATGCACAATTTATACCACATTTGCTTGATCCTTTTCTGTTGCTCCCTCTCGCACTCCGATGGAATCAGTCTTTCGACACAGCCAGAGTGGATTTAAAATGAAAGTTTGATGAGGTTTTGGTCGCACAAAATAAATTTCAAAATTTTTATGAGTAAGCGAACTGCTTATTTTTTATGTGTTTAATTATGGTTAATTTTTCTTTGTTATTCTGTTTTGTTTCACCTCTTCATTGACCATTTTCCCAAGTGATTTCTTATTCTTGTATTCGGTTTTATTCAATCCACTCATCGATTAATCGATGGATGTGGTGTGTAAACGCATAAGTTTGAAAATTTATTAAAAGATTCCTGAAGATGTCCTCCGTTTGAAACTTTCAGAACATGTTAACTAGACTTTGCGCATTTATTACCTGAAGCAGAAACGCTGTCAGTTTCTTCGGTTTTTCAAAAACTTTTATTTTCGGCGACGGTTGCAACCGGCAATGAATGTTAATAATCGCATACGTTTAGAAAATTTATAAAAAAATCCCTAAAGATGTCCTCAATTCGAAACTTCCAAAACAAATGAAGTCCATTTTGTTGATTAAATTCTAAGCTAAAAGGCTCTCACTTTCTGTGGTTTTTTTCAAAAGTTATATTTTCCGCGACGAATGCTGAATCGATGAACGTCGTTTATAATCGCATAAGTTTGAAAATTCATAAAAAGTCCCTGAAGAAGTTCGCGATTAGAAATTTTAAGAACATTTTAAGTAGATTTTGCGCCTTAAATTTCAAGGGCAAACATTTCCTGTAGTTTTAAATAAATTTGATTTTTGGCGGTTGCTGATAGTCGATAAAGAAAAAAAATAAGTCGTTTATGATCGCAAAATTTTGCAATATAATAAAAAAATCCTGAAGGTGTCATCAATTTAAAACTTTATTAAGTAGATCGCATATAGATAACATATTAAGTAGAGTTTGCACAATACATTTCTGAAGCAAAAACTTCAGTAGTTTTTAAAAAATGTCGATTTTTCTCGACAGTTGCTAATAGTAGTCGAGGCATGTTTATAATCGCACAAGTTTGGAAATTCTTCAAAAAATCCCTGAAGGTGCCTTCAATTCGAAAATGTTGGTCCATATTGAGTGGTTCTGCCGCATTAAAATAGCGGAAGCGAAAATGCTCTCATCTTGCGCAGTTTTTAAGAAAAATCGGGTTTTCTTGATGGTTGCAGATTCTCGAGGGATGTCGTTTATAATCGATAATCGAATAAGAGTTTGGAAATGCCTAAAAAAATATCTGAAGAAGTGTTCAATTCAAAATTTTCAAACCACATTAAGTATAGTTTTTCTTCATTTCACAAATGAAAAAATCGACAACATTCTCACGCTCTTAGATTTAAATAAATAACATTTTTCGGAATAACTGAAACAATAAATTAATGGGTTTTTCGGGTTTTTAGGCCGTCGTTGGGTAGAATTTCTTTTTGACGTTTCGCAAGCACGAGTGGCTTGTATCTTCAGAAGTGGTTTGCTTGATGAAATGACGAGATGTTGTCTGATGAAATCATTAGAACAGTGTAAGCCTTCAAGCAAACCACTTCTGAAGATGCAAGCCACTCGTGCTTGCGAAACGTCAAAAAGAAATTCTTCCCAACGACGGCCTAAAAACCCGAAAAACCCATTAGTTTCAAGGAATGGCCTCGAAAGTCTATCTCTTGATAACTGAAAAAAGTTGTTGGATGGAGACGTCATGATAGTTGCAAAAGTTTGCAAATTCATGGAAAAGTCCCTGCAGGAGTCTCGAATTTGAAACTTTCGGAAAACATTGAACAGTTATTTGGCTGTTAAACTCCGAGACCGACAATTTCATCGCTGCATTAGATTTTCAAAAATTGATGTTTTTTGAAAACTTGGCAAATTCATGAATTGCGTCAATCATCATATGAATTTTGAAAATTCATAAAAAGATCTCCGACGGAGTCTCCAATTCGAAACTTTTGGAGCGCATTGAGCATAGTTTTTCTTATTTTAAGGAAACATTATCCATCTCGTATATTTCGAGCAAATAACATTTTTCGGAACGGATTGCAGAAAGTTGGGTGGCGTTTATAGTTGCATAAGTTTGCTTGCATGGTCAACTGTGACCAGCATGAAAAGTACACAAAGACCAGGAAATATATTTTATGGGGAGATTAAAAACAAATTAATATCGCAATTTTTACGTATTTGTGTGGCGTAATTTTGTTTTAAGTTGTGTTAAAAGCGACAATTTTTCATGCCTTTATGGGAACTTTTTCCCCATGATATTATTTAGAATTTATAATCAGCCAGAGTGGTTTTGAAGTTATATGGAGACCGATTTTCAAAGGAAAGATTGATGAGGTTTTTGCGCTTGATTTTGTTAGTGTGTTGGTCGCACAAAATAAATTAGGTACCAATTTTTATAAGTAAGCGAACTGTTTATTTTTACATGTTTTAAATTTTGGTTCATTATTCTCTTTGATTCGGTTTTATTTCACTTCTTTATTGACTATTTTCTCAAGTGTTATTGTTATCTTCGATTTTATTTAATCTATAATTATCTTTTAATCTATATCTTTGGCTCATTATTCTCGTTTATTCGGTTTTGTTTCACTTCTTCCTTGATCATTTTCCTAAGTGGTTCATATTCTTGTATTAGGTTTTATTTAATCTACTCATCGATTGTCATTCACCTCTTAAAGTTGTGCTTCTTTAAGTTTACAACGTATTTCTCCAGTCACTTAATTGAAGCTTTCTCAACTGTGAATAGGCTCAGAAG